GTATACACTACTCACACTTACTACACACTGTTACAGTGTGTCTATCTGTTTCTTACTTGTTTCTACTTGCTAATCTAAACCTGTCTCACAGGTGTAGCTCTCCCTTTAGGCCAGAATGCCCTAAGAATACACCCCTCAGTCAACAGTTCAGTTTACTACACTTCTGATTATGAAACATAGTCAGAGTATACAGTGTACACATACAGATACAGCTTTGCCTACAGCTCAAATTAGCTCATTCAACACTCCCTAGTGTACTACTCACTTGCTACACACTATCACAGTATATCCATCTCCTCAATCCAGTTACCTACTCACACTGACAACACTCATACCCACACTCTTAGCCAATCAATCTCACAACCTGTCTCACCCCTAATTGTTGTATATTATAATGTATTTATATAATGTTTCAATATAATTATAAACTGTTATTTCAATAACAAACAGATATAAGGGAAAATAACTATTATTAAGATATTAAAATGATTTAAGAGCTTTATAAACAATTATAATATTTGCCATAATTAACAAGAGTGATTTAACCTTGTAATTTTAGAGATCCATTGTAATACATTTTATATATTGCCAAGGAGAATAACTCTTATTTATGTTTACAAATTACACAAATTTTTCAGACTTTATAATGAATTGTAGTACTTTCTCAGAAACCAAGATCTGTTCCAAGTGTTTTTACTTTTTTTTACTTTTTTCACTTATTTTATACCATTATAAGGTAGTACAAGAATTTAGACTTTTTCCCAATGTTCTTCATCAGTGTCAATCACTGATTCTGACGACTACAGTGAATTCGACTCGCTCTCTGCTGATAGCTTGCTGTAATAGTATGGTGGTCCGTTCGGATACCCGCATACGACGTGTAGCAGCGTGCGCGAAGTGGAGATGGCGGACTTTGCTGATTTCGAGATGGGCAATGCGGAGTGCTTGCAAGGTCAAGGTCAACTGCAAACGCTCTCCTTACCGCTAAGCCTCTCGATACCCTCGCTTTCTGGGCTACTGCCTCTGTTCGAAATGGTGTCATGGACAGCACTGGGAAATGTAAATACATGTGCCATACAAATTAGACCTATTGAGAGTGATGTCAAGCATGGAATGGGTGAGGAAGAGAGTGCCTACTTGGTTCAGAGAGAGAATTGTGCCTTGGGAGTGATTGTACACAGACAAGGGTGGTGGTGGTGGTGGTGGCAGTGGTGAGACGAAGAGTGAGAGTCTGAGACGCGTTGCAAAATGTTAAGTCCATGTATGCACTAAGAATCTAGATTTGGGTGGTACAGATCAATTTACATATCCTAGACTTATCTAATGAATCACTTAGTCTAGGTGAGATGGATTCATCCAATTACAGGTAAGTTAAGACTATCTGTACATATGTATACTTACCTTTTACCAGATAATCTACACATAAATCAAAGCTAGGTATGTTGAGTTATACTAGATTAATCTAGCTATTGGATTTGACTACATAATCTAGGACAATATCTACTCTAGGTACAACAATATGACTAATACAGATCTAAGCTACCCCTCTCAGATTCTCCTAACACGCGGTGAATAGGCTATAGTTGTCCAAACTTTCACAAGCATATGCAGTAATTCTCGTTAGAAGAGCACAGCCGACTCAGTGATTGATGGAATGACCTAATTGCATTGCGTGACAGAATGCTGTGACACAGATTTGAACAGGAATAGAATAAAAGAAGTTCAGTTGTGACATGGAGGACGCGACGAGAATGGGGGTGCGGACAGAGCTTTTTCCTCCTTTCACAAGAAGACATTCTTACTGATGTCAATTTGTCAAAGATATGTGTTAATCCATGTTTCTGACAGGAAGTAGATGCAGCCAACACGCCTACTCGATGACAAGCACAACACTTCACCATCAAACCACCAACGACCAACCCTAAGCAATCAGATCATAGATGTGCTTTAACTTTTTCGCGTATACTTATGCTACATCATATATCAATGCCATCCAGTTTGAGGAATAACCCTACTACACTTGCATTGATAGCTGAGCAAATAATGAACAAATAGACAAGTCCATAATCAAGCGTGTAGCTCGATATTGTGGTCAAACGTGCATATCTAGGCGTGTCTTATTGCTGATCGTGTAAGTCCTGCCAAGCAGTGCTTTAGGTATTTATGCTGGGGCAACTGAACGGAACTTCGTCCTTTCCGTGTTTTAAAACAGATCATACAGCCCACGAGCGCACTGACGGAACGTCGGGCAACTTGTCCTGGAGTGTAGATGATTTCTTATAAGTGCTTGTATGAGATCACTTACATACAAAAAATACAACGTCTCCGTCGACAGCGGTTTCTTAAACACCTCTCACATACTTGGCGTGTGAGTCGTCTACTTCATTCTCGAATTTCAAACAAAGTAGGTGGATCGCACGCCGGCCGATCATTCTCCGAATAAGTCTTGGCGGATTATACGGTGCTGTAGACTGTTTCAACTCCGGACCTCCATTTGGAATTTGGAATTTAGCAAGAAACTATAAAATGTCCACAGTCCGTCGAGGTTTAGCATCGTCAATCAAAGGATACACACTTGATTTGTACCAGGCATGTTTATTTCGACTATTCTCCGTCCTGCAGTAATTGCACTTCTTGCTCTTGCAAGTGTTACTAGTGTTTCGGCTGTCTGTGGGACAAACTCAATTGGTTTGGCTAATGCTCAAGCTGTACGTCTGCCATATTCCGGTTGTATTATCTGCAAAGCTCACCATTGATGTATAATGACCAGGGAGCTGTCATAGTTGACAATAGCTGCAACGTGCTTACCGCAAAGTCCATCGGCGATTTCAATGTATGTGGTCCTTACCAGGATGGTTCGCAAGTCGTTTGCAGAACTCCGTGAGTACCAGTTTGATCACTCAAGACTAACTACATGTTTGTTTTAATTGACCAACGACTTAATGTTAATCATTTCAGAGAGACGCCATCCACAGCACATACAGCCGACGGTCGAGACTGGGGGAATTGTATCAGATCGTCAGAGGTTTGCCAGGTCGGTCACTCAGAACCTCCGATTGTTCAGTGGTGCTGCCCGGAGCTTTGAAGTGAATAGAAAGCCTGTTCCAGATAGTGCTTATTTGACTTAATAACAAGTAATATGTCTAGTTGAGTAAGCCATATGAATTGTGTTAATTGACTACACTTGTTGTAATGTAATTTGAATGCACCACGAGAAAAGAGGATTTCAGAATAAATCCTAAAATGCAGTTTTGTAAAGCATAGTATAGTAGATATATGTATTATTGCATGTTATATTAAATAGGCTACTCCTTCCATTTTGATCCGGACAATACTACTAATCGAGGGGTAGCCTACAAAGCTTTCAGCTACCGCCTGTACTGCTCCAGTTTTGTATTTTATATTATCTTACTTAAATGAGAAATAAATAATTTATTCGGTTTTATAAATTGAGCCACCAGACTGCCCTCTGACCCTTTGTATGTAAGCTCGTGTATCGTCTGGGGACCAATTGGTATACATTGGGGAGCTTGTGGCTTGACCTCTGTATGGAACATTGGTTGTCTGTGCATGTGTAGTTTGTGGATTGGCTTCTGTTTGAATGCCTGTCTTACATTTTTCCAACTTCTTCCTCATTTCTGTCCTCACACAAGCCTGAACTGTTTGTTTTGCACTTCTCCTCTCTATTATTGACAGCGCAGAAATTTCTTTCTCGTTTTTCCCTTCCTCTCTCCAACCTCTTATCTTTTCTTCCCAGTCTGCCGCTTCTTTCCTCTCGGCTTTGCCAAAGATATCATTAATACCACCAATAGCTATGTGATCCTTTATTTCTTCTTGAGAGTAGCGTTCGAGCTGGTCATGTATATTGGTAAACTGCGATATAATGAGTATTTCTGATTCAATAAGAGACAGAGCATGAGGCCACTAACTTCCTTCCATATAACTTTTCTAGCCTTTCGTACATCTTCGGGTTCACTCGTTTGTGTGCCCTCCTGACCTGGTTTTGGCTCAAACTTATCCTCGTGAAACTCGCCCGCCTAAAGAGACCGAAGAATGTCGGTCATTTTACATAATTTATAATATATCTATGATTTCGACGTACCAATGATCGCTTAACTTGTTCAAACGCCTTTCTGGTGCATAGATGCTCTGGTAGACCTAGTTCCTTAAGCAACTCCCTCACTTCTGCAGCATATTCATCATTTGCCTCTCCCAATTCGTCACTCATCTGGTCTTGTTCCTCAGCATACCCTGCTGGTTCCTCTGTATATGCACCAACAAATCTTGGTGTGGTGTGATCTGCAGTGCTGTGCCCTGCATAAGCTCTCTGTTAAGAAAGGGGAAAGAGGTTATGTGAGAGGCTTAGAGAGATCACACAAAGAGGGGGGATAGTGGACTCGGCTTGCTCTCTCGCGGCTTGCTTC